TACCAAATCTCTTAAAGAAGGTTTTTCCAGTAATGTAGAATTGCCTAATTGGGAAGTGTACAAAACATAATTACACTGCTAACACTGCAATACTGCTTATGGGAATATCTCCGTTCACGCATCCTGCTTTATTCTGCATTTAATCTCTATTAAGATGTCTATATGAAAATAGATAGGGATGCTAGTCTTCATAAACATCATCAATCACAAAGTCATTTCTTTGCTAACCCAAGTCCAAAAAAAGCCCCCAAAGAGGCTAGGGTCCCAAAGCCTTCCACTTCGCATGTTAGTGCAACTCAAAGAGTATCCCCAAACTTCCCCAGAAAGCAGTTACCCAAACCGGAAAGGGCAAATCCTTTCTGCCCAAGATTGTGGTTACCAACCCCATGTCAAGGAGCAGAAGAAAGCACCTTCATAATTCCTCGTCTGAGGACGTCAGGCATGTCCTTTCAAGTTCACCCTTCAACCAGCAAGAGGAACTTCTGCCAAGGGCTCCAGACTCACAAGTGGATGGATTCCCTCACCTCCTCCCTGCCTTCAAATTTGTATAGTCTCATCCCTAGAATTGGGGTACCTGGATACACGGCTCAGTATTGGAGAAGAACCAGTTCAGACCCAGCGCCATCACCTATTGGCTGTGAGCCCATTCACGAGGCTGGTGAGACTGGCCTGTAGATTCCCCAAGTGGGGAGTAGCCACACTGCCTCACAGTCTCCTATCAGGATTGCTACTAAAAACAAAATAAGCGCGTGTCCCCCAAAGGGTTTCTACAAACGGAATAAAAGTAAGCTGTCATCTATATGGAAACGTAAGCTATCAGCCTTGCCGAAGCCTACTCATTAATAAAACCGCCAATCAAAAAAAAATAATAATAAAGTCACCAATCAAGATAAAAAGGATTTGTGACAGAATGTGTTTACTTTCATTGCGGAGACAGAAGGTGTCGTCCCCAAATCTGAGTGTGGCATCACGGTGAACTAACGCGACGGGGCACAGGAGAGCACGCGGCTTCTTTCCCTGCATTACGGGTGGATGTGCCTCCCGCTGCTCCCACGCTCACACTCACACAGGTCGCTGTGAACACTACAGACGCTATCGCGCCCATCTGGGACTTGTGTGCATAGACATCAGAGTGTGCTGCATGGAGTGGCCCCTATTTTAATAAGATAGAATTTACAGAAACCATTTTTCCCCTGGCCAGAACGCAGTGACACCCAGCCCAGCCTCCTCTCCATGGCCACTGCCAACTGGTCAAGAGAGAAAGTTAAATGTCCAGTGCGTCTGAATACGGAACGGGCTCCGGACTAACGAGCACACAGGAAATGGCCCTGCGTCCCAGGCATGCCTGCTGCTGCTCGCGGGCGTGGAGGACCCCTCTTAAACCAAATGAGACTGGGTCGGGCAGAAATCCCTATTTCTACTTTCAAATCGATTCATTCAGATTTGGGGGGGTGGAGGGAGGTGGTATTCAAGTTATATAAAAATCTTTCAATCATTTGTTGTGCCAAATGTTCAAACACTAGACTCAAGTGTGTGGGTATGTCGGGGGAGTGGTTTGTTTGGAAAAGAAAGGCAGTCTGTGTGCTGTTGGCAGGTTCGGGGCTGGCTGCACGAAGAAACCCTCGGAGGAGCTGGCTAAAAATACAGATGCTCTGGTTCCACCTGGAGCTTCTCCAACAGGACTTTGGGTGGAGCCCTAGGAGACTGACTCCAGGCCAGGGGTGCCCTGGGGATCCCCCCTGCTTCGGAGGCCACCCTCTCAAACAACCTGGGCACCTCCCTGGGGTCTGCATGAGTCACTCATGTGGCAACCACTCAGCCCATAGCCAGCCTTTTACCACCAAATATACTGAGCTCGTGTGGCCAACACTGGGGGCGGGGCGGGCTGAGGGGTGCTAGCACTCAGCACTCCCCCGATATAACATGGCACCAAGGACCCCTCCATGTCCCTGGGAAGACCCTAACCCCCGCTTCCCGCCCTAATGGGATGTAGTGAAACGCACTGCACAGTGTCAACAAGACAGAGGTGGGAAGGGAACTTGCTGTCATTCCCACCACTGTCAGTGAGACTGGTAAGAATGGTAACAGACAGCTCATCTTCGGGCATTCCCACGCGCATGAACACCTTACCTCCTGTGCACTCTCCCTAGGACTTGCAAACGTGCAGCTATACCATCCTGACCCCTGACCCCCGAGATGCCCTTGCATTCCAGCACCACAGGCCTGCCAAGGTCATTTTCAAGGATCATATCTAGCTTTCCAAGTGACATCTTTTTTAAAGGCATGAACTGAGTCCAAAGAAACTGCTGGTCCATGAAATGACCAGCCTGCCCTGGTGACAAACGGTCCCTTCCACAGTCCCCAGAAGGACATCTTCCCAAACACCCCCCGGCAGCCCCCACCTCGCCATCTCACTCACGACCCTACTACTGGCATCTGGAGGCCAACAGGAAGCTGGGGCAGCAACACTGCCCAGGGGTCCACGTCCACACCCATACCGTGCTGACCCTTGTGGGCGCCGTTGGTCCCTGCAACTGAATGAATGCCCTGGAGGAGTTGACTAAGCAACACCCATCTCCAGGGCTGCGTCAAGACCACGCACCAACGCCCACAGCAAATCAGCCACCCAGCGGGACCTGGGCCCGTCACAGGCCTGCTGTTGCCCAAGTGCCCACCAAGTGCCAGGAAGCCAAACCCAACAAGCCAGTCCACCTCCAGCAGCACTACACAGGCACCGGCCCTCCTACTGCCCACACGGGACCTGGAGAGGGGCAGGGGCAGGGACAGGGCCTCTTCCACACACTGACTCCCCGGGGAAGGTGGCCGGCCAAGCCCACCGTCACTGTGCTCCGTCTGCTCTGTAAAGAGGGTGCTGAGCAGTGAGTGGTGGCGAATTAAAAACCGAGCCGCCCCCTCCCCCCACCTGTCAAGGGCCACTGGGCCCCCACCCTGGCTGTCCTCAGGCCAAGGCAGGCGGCACCCAACCACTCACTTTTTCTTCCTTCTCTGGGGAGGGAAAGTAGGTCTTAAATAGAAAGTAAATATTTTACTAGGCATTTCTCAGTGACCTAACACAGAATAACATTCCAAGCCTAAAAACGGCCTCCGGGAACAGGTTTCCGTTCATCATTTTGGCCCCAGGAATCCAGGAGAGGGGCTGCTCCCTCACTAAGCCGGGCCCGCCCCTCCCCTGCCCCGGGCACGGTGGATTCTGACTAATAATTTGACACTGCACCAGGATTCCCATCTCCCACCCCAAGGCCTTCTCCGTCTGCCACCCCCCCTCCTAGCTCCATAAAACTCACCCACCGCTATGTGCAAAGGATAGAACCGCCCCTCATGTCCATCCCCACCACCTGTATCCAGAACCTCCGCTACGCCCAGGCTGAGTGAGGGGACACACAGCACCTCTGGCAAGAGTGGCTGAGTTACTCGTTTATTTACTTTGCATTTTAAAAAATTTAACCAACACCTACAATGCGTCAGGCCTATTCTAAGCGCTTTATAAATATTCCCTCGTTGAACCACACAGCACACCCTATTCCCACCCTCGTCTTAGATTCAGAAACGGAAACCCTTTGCAAGGGCTCAGTAAATCCCAAATGCAGTCAAGCATTTCCTTTCATTCCCTCCTTTGCCACACTTTCTAGACAGCCTGTCCCATCTGATGCCACTTCCTGCTGGTGCCGATGTATTCTGTCGCCTGTAGTAAAACACACTTTCAGGGCAGGGCCATCTCTCCTTGGGCTCAGCCTCAGCTGTGAAGGAGGGCAGAAATCTCAGGGGGACCTGTCCCTCACCATCAAAGGGATCACACAGCAAACACCCCAGGGTTCCGTGAGGGCTGCTGGGCTGGTCCCGAGCAATGCTTTTGGATCTGAGCCTGCAGTCTGACATGCTAAGTAATCACCAGGTTGCAAAACTCCCAGCTACAGGCATGGCCCAAAAGTGCACGGACAATGTCCCCTCCCCACAAATGACAAAGAACCCAAGCGGGACTCCCCCAGTCACTCTCCCTAAGACCTTGCTTGCCCAATGCAGCTCTAGAAGATGAAAGGAATTGGCGGGGGGGG